CTACAGCTCAGAGGTGAGGCTTCTTACTTTCTCCTCCCTCTAAGTCACCCAGCTTCTCAGTGACGAAGCTAGGGAGTGGGGGTGGGGTAAGGGGTCCACCTCCCAAGCCTGGGTCCTCCCACCTGTGCCATAAACAGAGTGTCAGCAAAGTGTCAGGCTCCCAGTGTGCACTCCATAAACATCAGTGCCTACTGCCTTAGGGTAGAGAGCAGCCCCAGAGGCCTATAGGGCGGGAAAGCAGTTTCAAGGAAACACTTCCTCAGGGAGTCCATTCCCAGAAATATGAGGATAGGCAGGTGGGAAAGGTCATTGGGGGAGATGCCTTCAGGACCCAGGGTCCCCCACCCCACAGACACCCTGCCAGCTCTGGGACCATCTGGACCCCTTTAAGGGTGGTGGGTCCTCTCCAGATGCATATGGCAAGGGGAGTAAGTTTGCATTCACAGGGGGAATTGTAATGAGACTGAGTACTCATTTAGTAAAATGCAAATCTTAAGTGGTGAGTGTTTACCTGTGTATACAGCTTTGATCAATGTCTAGGAGATTTCCATCTCCCCAGATGGTTCGCTTCTTCCTGGTGCCAGTCAATACCCCCTTCCCAAAGGTACCCATTGATATCTATCACTGTAAATTAGGTTTTCCTGTATTTGTATTTAATGTAAATGGACTCATACATTATGTACTTTTGTGTCTGGCGTCTGTCGCTCAACACAATCATTTTAGTTCTCAACTGATGTTGCTACATTGGTCAGTATACCACAACTGGTTTATCTGCTGACCACCGAAGGACATTTGGGGTGTTTCCAGTATGGGACTGTTGTGAGCATAGACTCCTCAGTGCTTCTCAACAGTCTGGAGTGGAAGGACAGAGAGGAGTTGGGGGAGGGGTATGGAGAAATTTTCAGAGGTAATGGACATGTGCATTACACTGATGGTGGTAGTGGCTTCCTAGGAGGACACACTGGTCAATACTTATCAAACCACAGGGACACCTGGGTGGCTCAGTCGTTAAGCGTCTGCTTTCGGCTCAGGTCATGATCCCAGGGTCCTGGGGTCAAGCGCTGTGTAGGGCTCCTTGCTCAGTGGGAAGTCTGCTTCTCCCTCTCCCTCTGCCTGCTGCTTCCCCTACTGTGCTCTCTCCGTGTCAAATAAAAAAATAAATCTTAAAAAAAAAAAAACTTACCAAACTATAGACTAACTATGTGTAGCTTATCCTATGTCAATTATACTATGGTAAAGCCGTAAAAAATGTGATCAATGGCCTTCAGATATTGTTTTAGCCATATGATTCTTTATTCACACACAAACATATTGGGGGCGCCTGGGTGGCTCAGTGGTTTAAAGCCTCTGCCTTCGGCTCAGGTCATGATCCCAGGATCATGGGATCATGTGGGATCGAGACCCTCATCAGGCTCTCTGCTCAGCGGGGAGCCTGCTTCCTCCTCTCTCTTTCTCTGCCTGCCTCTCTGCCTACTTGTGATCTCTGTCAAATAAATAAATAAAATCTTAAAAAAATAAAAACATAATGGGAAGCTCAATATAAAACAGAATAAAGCCTGAGCTGCTTCTGTTAAATAATGGGATGGGGTTTCTGGGCCCTACCCACGCAGCTTCCCCTTGCTCCTTATAGCATATCCCTAAGGCATCTCCCCAGAGCTCCACAGAAGCCAATTTGAAAAACACTGTCCCAGAGGGTGTCTGATGGCCCTGCCAGTTCCACATGTTCTTGATATTAGAACCTCCAGGCCTGGGTCTGGCCTTCTGGCCCATCCTCTCCCTTCATCGCTGTATGGATCCCACACACAGCTCCTTTCTACTGCACTACCCAGGCGACAAGCCCCAGCTCACTTTCACATCTCAGCCAACCGTTACCTCCGCAGCAAGTGTAGCGGTGGCTCCCCAGGGACCCTACATGCATCTGGGCCCCCGAGGCTCCCTGGGGTGGCTCTCACCAACTGGGCTGCTTTGGCTGTTGTAATCGGTCCAACCGCCACCGAGCAGGGATGGTATCTCTGGTGCCTGGGTCACTAGCGCGCAGCACCAAACCTGGCCCAAGGCAGGCACTCAGCACCTGATGATTGAATGGGTCTCAGCTCAGTCCCTTCTAGCAAGTGCTACGGGGGCCAGGGTCTCTCCGGGGCACTCCGAGGGCCTCAGTGACCTCTGCAGCCTTCCCTCTCCCCACTGTCTCCTGACTCCATCTGCTTCGGCCCCTGGCCTCCCTTATCAGGGATGCTCCCCGCTCTGGGTCTTAGCATCTGCTGCTACTCCTGCCTGAAGCCCTGTCCATATCCTTAACTGGCTCCTCTCTTGCTGAATTCAGGCATCTGCTCAAACATGACCTGCTGACAGAAGCCTCCCCTGACCCAAAGTAGCTTCTTCCTGTCCGTCTCCATCCCCTAGCTCACCTTACTTAATGTTCAGAGTACTAATTACCATCTGACTTTTGGGGAGTCCCTTCCACACCCCATGTAGCAGCAATCAGGAACTGGGGCAGGAACTCCATGAAGCCATATATTTCCCGCTCTTTCTAAGCAAGATACAGTTTCGCCTGCAGTGAGAAGGATGTAGGTTAGCCAGGGAGTATGGCTCTGCTCTCCCAGACACCACAGCAGGGAGCACACCTGTGTGATCAGGGTCTGGTTCCCCCCCACTCCAGAGCTGACAGACAATGCCTGACTTATCTGTATTCTCAAGGTGGGGTGAAGGGTCCGCCTAGGAAATGATGAAAGAACCCCCGCTGAGAATTAATCAATGGATGTAAATCTATCCATTCATTCAACAAATAATATTGGAGCAACTCCCATGGGGCCAGGCACTTTTTAAAGGCCCAGACAGGCAAAATGACAAAGTCTCCGCTCTCCTGTGTCTTTTGCTGTAGCTTGAAAGACAACGCACAAGTAATCATGTAACTGTTGGGAGAAACAATGGGCCAGCATCAGGCACTTCGCTGCGGGCTCCTGCCGGGAATGCCAAGGGAGCAAGGCCCTGAAAGCTCTTTACCCAAACGATTGATTTCTCAGGGTTGTGTTTGCAGCAAGCAACCTTGAAGGAGGAGGTGACATCTCCCCCATGCCCCGGACAAAGAACTGTATGCTGCTTGCTATAAAAGGAGTGAATGTCTAGTCCCCTTCTATACTGCTGTCCTACGCATGAAGTGTATAAGGGTCCATGGTGGGTCCTTCACAGGGCTTGGGGGACATGGAGTAGTGACACAAACACACCTGCTACTGTTTATACCATGAGTAATAGGAAACAAACTAGACAAAATTCTTTGTCTCTTACCCAGGAGTTTCATCCATGAAACAGTAACACACTATAACTAAACAATAATAAACAGTAACAGTTTATTCGTTTGTAAATGTGGTACAATCTCAGAGGCTGTGCAGTTCTTGACCACATGCGAAGTGGAGATGAGTGCTGTTGAGAAAAATAGAGCAGAAAAAGAAGACAGGGAGATTTGCTTTTTTTTTTTTTTTTTAAGATAATGGAGGGTTGTTTTTTTTTTTTTTTGATGATTTATTATTAATTTAAGTACACTCTACTCCCAAGGTGGGGCTTGAACTCACATCCCCAAGATCAAGAGTGGCGAGTCTACCAGCTGAGCCAGCCAGCCTCCCCAAGACTTGCTACTTTAGATAGGGATTGTTAAGAAAGGCCCTTCTAAGTATTTTTTTTTAATTAAAAAATAAAAATTAGGAGCACCTGGGTGGCTCAGTCAATTAAGCATCCGCCTTCAGCTCAGGTCACGATCTCAGGATCCTGGGATCAAGCTCCATGTCAGTCTCAGCTGAGAATCTCCTTCACCCCCTGCCACTCCCCCTACTCATGCTCTTCTTAAAAATAAAAATAAATAAAAATAAAAACAGGGGCACCTGGGTGGGTCAGTCCGTTGGGCATCTGCCTTTGGCTCAGGTCATGATCCCAGGGTCCTGGGATCGAGACCCACATTGGGCTCCCTCCTCAGTGGGAAGTCTGCTTTTCTCTCTCCCTCTCACTTTGTGCTCTCCCTCTCTCTCAAAGAAATAAAATCTAATAAAATAAAATTAAAAATTAAAAAAATAGGGGCACCTGGGTGGCTCGGTCCGCCTTGGGCTCATGATCCCAGGGTCCTGGAATCAGAGTCATGCAGCAGGCTCCATGCTCAGCACGGGGTCTGCTTCTCCCTCTCCCTCTGCCTCTCCCCCTGCACACGCTCTCTCTCTCTCTCTCTCTCAAATAAATAAATAATCTTTTTTAAAAATTTGAATTTGAATTTGAAAAATAAAAATTAATTTAAAAATAAAAATGTATGGGCCCCTGAGTGGCTCAGTAGGTTAAGCCTCTGCCTTCAGCTCAGGTCATGATCTCAGGGTCCTGGGATCAAGCCCCCCGCATCTGGCTCTCCGCTCAGCTGGGAGCATGCTTCCCCCTCTCTATCTCTGCCGGTCTCTCTACCTACGTGTGATCTTCGTCTGTCAAATAAATAAATAAATAGAATCTTAAAAAAAAAAAAAAAGATGGCTCTGATTGCTGCATGGAGAAGAGCCCCCCTGGGGAGGAAGCGGGGACCCAATAAGAAAGTTGTTACACGAGTCTGGGGTGAGAGATGACGATAGCTTGTCCTGGTGGTGGCGGTGGAGGTGGTGAGAAGTGGTCAGCTTCTGGATGCATTTTAAGTCTGAAACCCACAAGCTTGCTTATGGATTGGATGTGGGATGCGAAAAGAGGAGCCAAGAGTGACCTCAAGGTTTTGTTCTGAGCTGAACCAGCGAAGACTTGGGAGGGGCAGGCTTGGAAGGAATCGAGAGTATGATGAATGAGCATGAGCGAACGAAAACGAAACACTGAATGCCTTCTTCCTCCGAGGCGCGAAATAAAAGGCCTGTCCCAGAGACTGTACTTTAGGAGCCTGAGGCCAGAGCTGGAGCTCCCGGCTCAAAAAAGGAGGTCAGGGTTCCTTTAAAAGGACTCCGCCCCTCCCCGCGAAGCCCCGCCCAGATGAGGGTCACGTGCCCCTCTGTCTCTCGCTTAAGGGCGGACCTCAGCGGTTTGAAAGATCCGCGCGCGGGGCAGGAGCGGAGGTTCTTTGCGTGACTGGGATGTCGGTGTTGCGGCCACTGGACAAGCAGCCTGGCCTGAACACGGCCACCATCTTGGTAGGCGTCAGCTGCTCCGCTTCCCCCGCCCGCCTTCCCTCCTTCCCTCCTTGGCTGCGCCTCAGCTGCCAGCTCCTGGGCGCTCTGTCAGGGTCTGGAGCGCGCCTTTCAGGTTGCGGTGTGGTGGGCGGGACAGCCACACTCCGAACCAATGGGAGTGGTCGCCCGCTGAGGCTGAAGGACGCCCCCGCCAATACGTGCGCGGCGGGCTCTTTCCCCGTTTCTGATTGGTGGAGCTGCTGGGCGGGGAGACTAGGGAGGGTCCCGGGAGGCTGAGTTCCTCACGGAGCCGGCGAAGTGGTTCCCGGGGTCGCCGGTCCCGCGGCCCGGGGGAGGGTCCTGGGAGGGAAGGACTGCTGTGCGGCCAGCACTGGGCCCTCCACCCGTGCCCGGCCGAGCCCTGTCTCGGTAAACGGCGCCGTACGCGCGAGAGCGGGAATCCGGGAGCCGCGCGGCGTTCGGTGTGTGGCCTGCTCCCCGGGCCCCGCGGCGCGTCTGCGGCGCCCCGGTCTCAGGAGGCCGCCTTCTCTGCCGGGCAGCTGGTGGGCACGGAAGATGCTCTTCTGCAGCAGCTGGCCGACTCGATGCTCAAGGAGGACTGCGCCTCGGAGCTGAAGGTGTAAGTAGCCGAGGCCGGGGGTGTCCGATGGCTCTGCGGTGGCCTGAACGGTGGGCCCAGGAGCGCGAGCCGGGAGCCAGAGAGGCGGGCGCAGGTGGGGCCAGGCCCAGAGGCGCGATCCGTCCCCAGCCAAGGGACCCTCCATCGCTCTCTGTCACGCACTCCTGTTTTCCTGCAGCTCTTGTGACCACAGGAGATGTCTTTGTGCACCGGTTCGTTTTCTCGTTTCGGGGTTGCCAGCCCCACGGACCCCTGGGTCGGCCCCTTGAGGTCAGGGACTTTGACTTTTTTCCCTACTGAATCCCCAGTGGCTTGAGCAGTACTTGGCACAGAGGAAAGTTCAGATTATCCCCCAGATTTGGAGAAAAGTTGACTAAAGAAGTAGTATCTTGTTTTTCTTTTTTTAACTGGTGGAGAGTGGAAACAGCTGCTGGTGGGAATCAAGTGACTGGATGTATGTGGGTGTCATTGTCCCTGCTGGACAAGCTCCAGGGGCTCATGTTGACGGAGAAGGATCCCAGTCCACTGGGTGTTCCTCCATGGGAAACGGAAACACCCCTCACTGGGAGAATCAACCCCCTTCCAGCACTTGAAAGAATCTGATGAGGGAACAAGCTCGGACGAGTGATAAGGGTGACTTTCCCAAGGTCACATAGCTGGTCACAGGCAGCCTGAGATTTGAGCCCACTTCCATTGCCCTCCAGAGAGGTTCAGCCTTAACCCCTAATCCGCACAGTCTAACACCCCTCCTCTGAGCTTGATCTCCCTCCCAGCATGCAGGGTAGCTGGCTAGCCCGGTGCCATCTTCTACCCCGACTCCCTCTTGCCAAGGTGGTTACCAGACAGAGCTACCTTCTGGCAGTGGGGGTCAGTCTAGATGGGACCAGCTCTGCCCTGCCCCTATGCCCCTATGTCTAGTCCACAAGAGCCTCGGGGCAATAGGTGAAGAGCCCTTGACAGCCTCCTGCCCCAGGGCGGGCAGCATGCAAAAGGTCCCTGTGATGTGGGTATGTATATCTTTATCCTGCAGTTTCTCATTTTTCAGCCACCTGGCAAGGTCCCTCCCTCTGCCCTCCAATGTGAATCGGCCCCGAATTGACCTGATCATGTTCGTGGTCAACCTTCACAGCAAATACAGGTGAGAGCCAGAGAGTGGGGGCGTCAGGGCTCAGGTAGACCTGGCTTAGGGGTGTACTGGGATGGTGACCTCACTTGTGATGGGAAGCAGGGGACACAAGGAGAGGCTGCCTGGAGTTAGCCCAGAGGGTGAGGATGCGGAGCCAATGGCAAGTGAATGATATTTTAAAGACACTGATTAAGGGGCACCCGCATGGCTCAGTCGGTTCAAGCATCGGACTCTTGATTTTGGCTCAGGTCATGATCTCAGGGTCCTGGGATTGTGCTCCACGTGGGTCTGCCTGAGATACTCTGTCCTTCTCCCTCTGCTCCTCCCCACCATGCACTTGCTCTCTCTCTCTCTCTCTCTCTCTCTCAAATAAAATTTTAAAAATAAAAAATAAAGACACTAATAAACTCCAGCGGTGGCATCGGTCATTTATCTAATGCTTTCAGCAACCTTCTCTGTATCCCTGATGGCAGACCCAGACATGAATGAAGCAGACCCCCCACCCCAAGGTGCTCCCAGCCCACTGAGGGAGGAAGCCAGACTCCTGAACAGATGATTACAGTATCTGGCATCGGTCCTGTAGAGGAAGAATGCGTTGGGCTATGAGACTCCCAACAAGACCTCTGACTCGGGACTCAGGGCAGGGTAGACTTTCTGCTGGAGGTGACCAGGACAAATTAGCCTGGTAAAAATGGGAGTCAGCAGAAGGTTCCAGATGAAGAAAGTTAATGTAATGGGTAGGAGGAGCACAAGTTGTGTGTACAGGACTGTGAAGGCCAGTCCAGGGTCAGGAGCCCAGGGTAGTGGGAGGCTGTAGCTAGGGGAGCGTGAGTGGTGGTGATGCTGGGCGCCTGGCCTGGCCTCCCTGTGGTGCTGGCTGCCCTGGGGGACAGGACCGCAGTAAACCTGGGGAATACGGTAGAAGGCCTGCTTTCCCTCTTGGGGGATGGCCGACTGAGGGTAGGCGGGGTGCACCTCTAGCACAGAATCTGAAACACACACCCAGTGATGAGGTGGGGGTTAAGGGAAGGCTGGGGTGGAAACACTAGGACCAGGGACATAGAGCTACCAAACACAAACACCCAGCAGCAGGATCAAATCCAGACCTCCTGCCCAGCCAGGGGGAACAGGTGAGCAGTCGCTAGAGCCCATGGTGGCACAGAGAAAGGGCTGAGATCTGCCGTGATTGCCAGAGGTCCTGACTCAGCAGATCTGCTGCTCTTTGGGTGAGATCTCTGTTCGAAAGGGATGCTGACCTGTCTCGGGGGAGGTTCTGCTCTACAGTCACACGTCGGGGCAGAGAGCCATCCTTACTTGCTTCAGGCCTTGCTCATTCAGGCTGAAACCTTGGCTTGGTTCTCCTGATCAAGATGGCTTTTTGGCCAGGAGACAACAGATTTCTTTATCCCTCCTTGGACACCAATGAACGAAACCCTTGGCCCAGCGGGTCAAAGTGCCCTTTTCCTAGAGGAGAAGATTGTTTTCATATACTTGATAGGACTATAAATATTGTCACTTTATTGGAAAGCAATTTTGCAATACCTAGGTACTTTTTTTTTTTTTTTTTTTTTAGAGAGAGAGAGAGAGAGTGTGTGAGCACAAGTGGGGGTGGTCAGAGGGAGAATCTCAAGCAGGCTTCATACTCAGTCCCATGGAGCCCAACACGGCTCTATCCCAGGGCCCTGAGATCATGACCTGAGCCAAAAGCAAGAGTCAAGAGTCAGACAGAGTCAGATGCTCAACCGACTGAGCCACCCAGGCGCCCCCAACCTAGGTACATTTTAGAAAGACACATATTGTGACCCAGCCACTCTGCATCTAGCATCTTCCCTACAGAAACATTTGTCTACATGTGTAAGAACACACGGGGAAGAATGTTCATGTGGCATTCTTTGTAATGATGAGAAACTGGAGACCACGTAAGCATCTATCACCTAGAAAATAGATTGTGATACGGGGTGGTCGTTCCAAAAAATGTCACAGGTTGAACCCAACCAAACCCAACTACATGCTTATACATATCACTGCCTGTATTTGCATATGAGAAATTCATGTGCAAATGATATTATACCCCAAACTGTGGGCAGCAGTAACCCCTGGACTGTTGAGACAGAAGGGTGGTGCCAGAGAAGGACACTTACTCTTTACTGATCACATCCATATTTACTGTTGGATTGCTCTACAGGCTTGAGTCACTTTGTAATGACATGTCCTTAAACAAAGTGAAAGACAAAATATTCCCCTAGTAGTGTTTCCTCTTACATCTCCTTCTCCGGCCCCTCTGGGATGAGGAAGGCCTTCTGCCTTCTCGGTGGTAAGGTCTGTCCTCTGTCTTCTCGCACCAGCCTCCGGAATGTGGAGGAGTCCCTGCGCCATGTGGACGCCACCTTCTTCCTGGGGAAGGTGGGCTTCCTTGCCACGGGCGGTAAGTCCATTCCACCACTCTCCCTTCCCCACCCCGCCTCCCAGGGAGACTCCTCACTGGGGCCATGCAGATCCCCGGGACCTGGGGCGGCGGCAGGGTGGGGAGGAACGATGGAAAGAGCGTGAGCTTCCGAGTCTGCCCTATTGCCCGCCTCTCCGAAAGCAGATCTGAGCAGGTCATTCCACTGAGATAATTCCGGAGAGTTAGCTGGGGACTCCCCGTGGCTTTCAGAGTAAAACCCCAGCTCCCATGAAGACGAAGTTTGGCCTTCCGCCTTCCTGTCTGGGCTCACCCTCCTGTCACTCTCCGTTCTTGGGCTCGGCTTATAGTTCTCTGAGCAAATCCTGCTGTTCGGAGACTGTCGTATTAACAGCGGAACTGACAGTCGCTGGCCTTTCCCGAGCACTCCCTGTATACCAGACAGCGTCATTTCTCGGTACTTCATCTTCACTACACTCAACCCTTTGAGGCACATACTGTTACGTGTTATAGCTGAGGAAACTGTCCGTGTGGTTTAGTAACCTGCCCGAGGCCTATTGCTAAACAGCGGTACAGCCAATAGTCCTACCTCGAGAGCCCTCTTCTAGAGCCCACGTCCTCCTTAATGACTATATCCTACAGCTTCTCATGAATGCTCTTTTCCTGTTTGCCTCGCTAACCCCCATTTCCCATCTCGTGGGGGACAGCTCCCTGACCGGCCCTGCAGTCTGGGCCCCTGGGAGTCCGTCCCATAGACTCCCCACCCTCCCTCCTCCACCGGTGGTGCGTCCTCACCGTCCGCCCCGACCCAGCTGAACTGTGCACTCCCCAGGCTGTGCGGCGGCTGGTACAGATTATGCTCAGTAAGCATTGATGAATTCCCTATAGATTAATTCACTGAATCTCTGTAGTCCTGGGGGCTGTTCCCATCCTCATCTTCGAGATGAAGAAACTCATGTTTCTAGAGCACGCTCTCTCCAAGGCCTCCCAGCTTGAGAACAAATTATGTTCTAATTTGACGAAAAGCAGGTTGAACAGGCAACTGAGGCCCAGAGAGGGGTGATGAATGAGTTTGCCCAGTGCCTCCTGGCTCACGGCCGCCAAGGCAGACATTCCAACCTGCCACACTCACGGCTTCTTTGCAGCCGGCCGGGAGAGCCACTGCAGCGTTCACCGGAGCACCGTCGTGAGGCTGGCCCGCACCTACCGGAGCCCCCTGCTCTTCTGTGACCCGGAGGTGAGGACGCTGGTCGCGGGGGCGCAGGGAGAGGGCTGTCAGCGCTCCGTGGGTGTGTCAAGAACGCTTCTCCGAGGGTCATCAAGTGCTCGAGCCAGGGGAGCCTGATGTGAAGATACAAGATCCTGATCTGAATCCTGGCTTTGCGGCTCACTGTACCTCGGGTACAACAGTCAGCCTAAGCGGTGGGGGGCACAAACGCAAAGCAGAGCGATGATACACATTCAACCTGAGCACCTCCGAGACGCCAGGCGCTATGGCTTGTGCCTTGCGTTGCTTTGTTTTCTCTCATAACCAAGTCTCGTGTATGTGCGTGTGGGTCCTCGTTACCGTCTTACTCTCCTGCCGGGCTGTCTGTGCTGTGAGGCCAGGCATCTTGTCTGTTTCATTAACCAGGGCTGCCTCGTGTCCCCTGCAGTCAGAATGCCCACTGCCCCCTTTATGCCCCTGGACTACAGGCCTGGTCCAGTCCCAGTGCGGGGCAGGGCATCCAGCAGGCAGCGGCGGTGGCCGGGCAGTGGGTGGCTGGAGGGTTGGAGGGTGTCTGTGGTGTCGGTTCTGTCCCAGCTCACTTCTGTTGGGGCTTCTCATGGGTGATCCTAATTATGAGCAGGACAGAGCAGTTTTGCTGGTACATTTCACCCTCCTGCTTCTCTTCCTGCAGTATGAATCCTGACTTTTTGCTAAAAGTGGTGGTCAGCGGAGGACTGGGTGGTCAGCGGAGGACTCCCAGGGCCTGGGCCACCCCACCCATGTACCAGACCTGCTCAGTTCATTGTGGGCTGTGTTTATTAGTTTTGAGGTGCATTTCTGCTCTGTTTTGGGGCTTGCACCTGTTCCCAAAAAGCCAAGTGATGTAACGCAGAGAGAACCGAATCAGCGCCCTCTCCGTTATCAGTACCCAGACCTGGGGCTCTTATTCACGGGTTTGTGGACCCCTCTGGTCTGAGGGTAGAATTCGGGGGATCTGTGAACTTGTATGAGAAAAAAATACTTCCTTTTTTCCCACTAAGCTCTACGTGAAATTTAGCATTATGAGTATGGGCAGGAGAGGTCGGCAGTAGTGGCCGGGGCTGGGTCTGTTACCAGCAGAAGCGGCAGACGTTCCATCTTGTCAGGGGAGGGGCAGGTCTCCTGACTCAGTGCATTGATACAGACTGACGCACTACTCTCACAGATTCGGTTTTCGTATTGCGTGACTATTTAAGTCAGCACGCTGATGTCAGACAGGACCGTGAGGCCTGTGCCATGCCCCAAGTGCCTGTCCTTCCAGGCTTTTCTTACAATGTACCCCAGACACCCAAGACCTAGAGAGGAGAGGCGACTTGCTCAGTCATGCAGCTAGTAAGTTCCACGGGAGAGCCAGCAGATTTGCAAGCCGCTGTCTCCTTCCCTTCTTAGCCTGCTGACTGTGTGACTTTGGACAGGTCACTTCCCCTACATGCAGCCTTCATCTCCTCACCTCCAAAGGGGAACCATAATCTTTGATCCACAGCCCAGGTACCTCAAACCTCAGGTGTTCCCGCTGCGGGGTGCCCAGGACCTTGCGCTGTGTGGTGCAGTTCCCCTTATGGCCAGTAGGTGGCAGGCCACACCAGGTCCTGGGGTCTCCGGGAGCCTGACTCCAGGAGAAGGCCTGCCCCCAGCTAAAGCTGGCATTCCTTCGGAGGAGGCAGCCGGTGTTTGGACAGTCATCACTCCTCATACCTGTGTTGTCCTTTGCCGGACACACCCCTCCACATACCTGAGTTTGCGCCTCGCTGTATTTTAAGGCCTTGCCCGGCAGGAATTTTCAGTCCTGCTCTACACATAAAGAAACACATTCCAGAAGCCGGGGCATTGACCCAGTGCCTGTATTTCCCAGCACTGCTGATAGGGCCCAGGGCTGCTGCCTGAGCATGCAGACGGGCCAGGCATTGCAGCTGCCCCCGCAGAATCAGGGGAGCTAGACCGCAGGCACCGTGTGCCGTGGCAGGACTTGCCGAGACCTGGAAGCCTGGCGGTGGGATGAAGTCGTTCCTCCCTGCGGGTGACGCAGCAGCCTGGGGTGGTCAGATTTGGGTTTGGGGCCACAGCTCCGGAGTGTGGCGTGTGGATTGGAGGAGGCCCGGCCAGGGACGAGGCTGCTGCAGGAGGCCAGCCGGGGAGGCTGAGTGACAGCAGCAGCAGCTCGGAGCTGTATTCAGGGGGCGAAGGCCACAGATCCCAGAGGGAGCGGATTTCGTCAACAAAGACTTCTTCGGTACCTCCAGTGAGCCAAGCGCTGTTCTAGGCACTAGCCATGCAGCATAGAACAAAAGAGTGAAAAGGGAAGAGGAAAACCCCAGCTCTGTTGACATGGAGGGAACAAAGCAAAGAAGTAAAAGGTGTGGGTGTTAGAAAGTGAGCATGTGGCGTGTCGGGTGGTAAAGCAGTGAAGGTTGGTGGGGTTGACGGGAGTGACCATGAATGGAGCCTTAACAGACTTGAAGACGATCGGAAGGCAGGTGCCGAGACCGCTGGAGGGAGGAGGCCGGAGGACCAAGTGCGAAGGCCTGGTGTGTGGACCTTGCCTGGTGTGCCCAGGGTGCCCTCCCCGGGAGGCCAAAGACCAAAGCACAGCATAGGGCAGGGTAGTGGTGGCTGTGTCGTAGTGACCGCATCCCCAGAGCAGGAGGGCCTCGTGGGTCTTAGTAAGGGTGGTGACTTTCAGGCTGCGTAAGATGGGAGCTGCAGGGAGGGTGCCGGGGTGGGGGCGGGGAGGGCCTGATACGGGTTTTATTTATTTTTCTTTTCTATTTATGTGATGCAAGTTTAAATGGATCCCTCCAGCTGTTGCGAGGAGAGTAAATGGAAGAAAAGCAAGGGCAGATATGAGGAGGCGGGCCTGGGGGCTATTTCTGGAAGAGTTAGGAGTGGCCTGGGCTCCACGCTGCCCAGGGAAGGGGGAGGCAGGATGGCCTGTACCACTGGGCCATTTTCCAGGGTGGAGCCAACCGACTGTGCGGGTGGCCGGGGTGTGAGACATAGGAGAAAAGAGAGAATGGCCCTGGGGTTTTCAGCAGAGCCGCTGTTAGGATGGAGGTGCCCTTGGCTGAGATGGGGTAACTGCAGGGGGGACAAGTTGGGAGGACCCTCAGGGACTGCACCGGAGACATGCTAATCAGATCAGGGTGTCTGTCAGCCATGTACCCGGAAATCGAGCAGGCAGCCACGTCCGTGTGTCTGACGTTCAGAGGAAGGGTCTGGAGATGTAATTTGGGCATCGTGGGTAGTGAGAAGGTTTTAGATCACAGAACAGATGAGCTTCCCAGGGAGTGTGTGTGGGGAGCAGCCTGCGAAGGCCAAGGCCAGGGGCAGCACTTAGATGTGTGTGTGGGGGGGGCGAGTGTGGCATCCTGGGGCTGGTGAGAAGCCTTCTGGAGACGGGAGCGCTGTGGCTGACCAGGGTCTGATGAGAGACTCGGTGAGAAGGACAGCTGCCTCTGGATTTGGACTAAGGAGCCACAAGCGACAAAGATAGGAGCACAAGCAGCACTGAGGGTGCCCGGGCCCTAGTGAGGGTGACTGGTCGGATGGCAAAACCCCTTCCCCAGTTAGAGGAGGAGGAGGACGACGAGATGTGCCCACGGAGCCTGTTGGCAGGGCAGGGCGACTGAGCATCGTGTGGCCTTCGCCAGGCACTGATGTCGCATCTCCTTTGCTGCTTGCTGGCGCCAGGCCCTGGGGACAGAGTTGCCAGCCCTACCTGACCCCACCCCACGGCACCTCTGGGCCCCTGCCTTCAAAAGCCCTGTTAAAGGAACCCTGTTGATGGGACCTCCCTGTCCCCATGAGGGCCACTCTCTGTCCACTCCTCTTTTCCACGCCCAGGTAAAAGGGTCTTCAGGGCCTCTGCCTCCGGGACGTCGGTTGGAGCTGGGTCTGGTTCAGATCCCAGCCTGGAGACCGCTAGATCTGTCACCTGCCTTGGCCAGCCCTGCTTGCTGAGCCTCGCCTCCCCTGGAGGAGGGGTCACTGTCTGCGCATCCCTGGTCCCTGGAGGACCTCTGAGGGCTCTGTAAGCCAGAGCAGTTGGAAGCTGCTGGGTGAGGCGGGCTGTGGACAGGGGCCTGGCCACAGTGGGCAGTGGTGCCCGAATCCGGCCCCTGCTCTCGGCTCCCGCTCACCCCCATCCTCCGCTCTCCCTCGGCAGGTGGACGGCTTCCGAGCCCCGGTCGCACAGCGGCTGGTGCGAATGCTGCAGATCTGTGCCGGCCACGTGCCTGGTGTCTCAGCCCTGAACCTGCTGTCCCTGCTGCGGAGCTCTGAGAACCCCACCCTGGAGGACCTGTGAGGCCTGCGGTCCCCTCCCCACCCGACTGAGTCGCCCCTCCCCAGGGCCCGGGGTCTGGGGCCGGGGACTCCGCTGTTGCCGCAGCCCGGCTCTGGGTCTGCGGTCTGCTCCCTGCACGGCCCAGACTCGGGAGCCCCGCTAGTGGGACGGCAGCCCCCGCCCCGCCGTGCTCACGCCAGCAGAGCCCCGTGTCTTCATCCACCTGCCGGGCTGCCCCACCGCCCCAGGCTTCGTTTGAACAAAGCATCCACAGCTCAAAAATAAGTCTGAAAACCCCTGGTCTTCTCCACCACTTCGATTGTGCAGATGAGGACACTGAACCCGGACAGTTATGAGGGTCGGGCCGGGGGGCTTGGACTCTGCGACCCCATCTGACCCCACATCCTAGCCTTGCCATCCTCACAGAGCCCGCTGTGGCCTCATAGACCCTCAGTTTCCCCAGGTGCGTAATGGAGATCGTTCTACTGAGACATTGTCACGTTCGTTGGTTAGGACCGAATGAAATGACAGGCCTGCCGCTGTCGTGCTCCCTCCACGTCAGTTCCGTGTATCCCGTGATCCTTTGCAGTAAGGCCTTGCCCGGTTCCAGCTAAGCGCTCGGTGAACAGTACCTATTGTGTGAAATCCCAGAGCTGGGTTCAAAAGCTGGTGCAAACCCAGGAATTACACTGTTTATGAATTGATACGTTTGTGGGAATTATGTGAGAAAGGCTGTCTGGAGGGTTGGCTCCCGGCTTGGCGGCCAGAGGTTGTGCCGTGACAGTGGCTCCCCATCTCCTCTGGGTCTAATGAGAATTTGCAGAAGTGCCAGGGTTGGAATCCAGAAATCCGGTCAGCCGCCAGGGCTCCTGCCGCTGCCCGGTGGCCAGCGGGGCACACGCTGGTGGAGGAGACCGCAGGAGGAGAGCCGGGTCTGGGCTCCCTTAGACCATGACGGTGCCCCCTCCTCGCCCCCATTTGGCTCATGCAGGGACCTGCCTCCAAATTCAGGCCTCTGCTTCGACTTTGCCGTCACAGCTGGAGCCCCTGCTCTCCATGAAGTGGGGCCAGCTTGAAAATCGTGAGGGGTGCCTGCCTTTCTCCCCGCCACAGGCTCCTGCTCAGGCCTGGCCCAGCGCCGCACCCCTGGTGCTCAGTAGGTCCAGCAGCCAGACGGCTGGCTGATTAGAGGCCAACCCGGGGGACCCACTGAGAACCTCAGCTGCGATGATTCCATCTGAGGTCCCTAGTGTCCGTGACACAGCAGGGCGCCACACACTTCATTCTCCTCACACGGCCGCTCCTGTGTCCCCTGGCAGACCTGCGAGGTCGGTACTATTTCCCTACTTCCGCTCATGCCAGGATGCCGCGGCCAGAGGCGTGTCCACATCACACAGCTAATCAGGAGGCCGACCTCCAGGCCCTCCCCTGCTCTTCCCTCCAGTTGTTTTCTTAGGTGCCTAATGGTTGAGCAAAGGTTCGGGCATTTCTGCTGGGCAGGCCCTGGCTGTCCACACAAAAGTGGTGGACACGCAGGCCTTGAGCCTGAGAAAGCAGCTGTCAGGAAGGGCAGTCTCAAGGAGCTGCTCCCGCGTGCTGGGTCCGCACCTCAGGACAGGGGCAGGCCTGGGGGAGGAGAGGGCGAGGAGCAGGGTAGGAGCACTGCCTGAACCAGAAAGAGGACGACTGCAAATGTGGGGCTCCTCAGCACTGGGGAAGGGAAGCCAGCTTCCGGGGTGAGGTTGCTGCGTCCAGGGTTGAAGGAAGAGGCCGAGATGAGGTGAAAGTGCACGCTAGTCTCTGAGGGGATGGGCAGGATCCGCAGAGGCCCGGTGCCTCCTAGGAACCAGCCTTGTCTTCAGCTCCTCAGCAGCCTGGGCCGGAAAGGTGGGGCTTTGTAGGGCAGTGCGGAGAGGGGGTGAAAGTAGGGGGGGTCTCTGGGAGCCAATGGAGCAGGTATCCAGACAGAAGAGGAAGGCAGTGTAGACACGGCCTCCCTGCCTTTGCTGGGCCCCGTCCCTTTGTTGGAGACGAGGGGCGCCCCTCCCCTTCCCCCCTTCGCCTCCCCCTGGGCGGCATGGGGCACACTTCTCTCCCCTCCCCCCACTCTCTTGTCCCTGTGCCATGTTTTCTTTGCCACCTGGTGCCATTTAACAAGAGAAGTGGCATCACACTCCAGCCAAGGATCTGAGAGCCTTCCAAGCGCGGGGGGAACTCAAGGCTGTCACTGCTTCCAGCTCCAGCGAGCTTGGCAGGGGCCCAGGACCTGGGAGCCTGCCTCTGCCTCACCGCAGAGCTGAGCAGCCCCCGAAGGGCAGTCAGCAGCCCTCCCAGGCCTGTTCCCCCCGGCTGGGGAGTGCGGCTGCTCTGTACTGTCCGGAGGCCAGGGATGCTGGGAGGCAGTTCAAGCAAGGGAAGTAATGGAAGGCCAGTCTTTCCACCCCAGTGGTGCCTGGAATGGCTGCCTGATGCTGTGGTGGGGTGGGGGGAGCTAGGAGAGGCTGTGCCAGGCTCCTTAGGGATCTTGTGACCTGAGGCAGGTCCCTTTATCTTCCACGAGCCTCAGTTTCCTTGTCTATAGAATGTGATCAGGCTAATGAATGCCTTTCTCCCCGGGGGGCCTCAGGACTGAGAAGGAGAAGCCATTATTTTATTTGATTTATTTATTTTTAAAGATTTTATTTATTTGACAGAGCAGGGGGAGTGGCAGGGAGCGGGAGAAGCAGGCTCCCCGCTGAGCAGGGAGCCTGATTCGGGACTCGATCCTAGGACCCTGGGATCATGACCTGAGTCCAAGGCAGACGCTTAACCAACTGAGCCACCCAGGTGCTCCAAGAAGCCATTATCTTAAACACAAAACTTCCAACCAGTGTCAGAACTCTCAGGTTGGCCTTGGTCACAAGACAGTCACAGGCGAGGCAGTTACGGGGGGCGGGCTGAGGCCCCTATAGGAGATGCCTTTCTGCTGGACCCGTGAGCTGCTGGCTCCATGCTGTCTGAGCGCACGGAGGAAAGAGGGGGTTTGGGCCCCAATGTACGGGGCAAGGCTTGGTCAGCCCACAGGTTCTTTTGTTCCTTGGGCACACCCCAGGGGGCTCCCGTTCCTTCGCAGGAGAAGGCCTGGGCCTGTGTCCTGGCCCCAGTCTAATGCTATTTCCCACCCTGGCCAAGGAGGCCGAGCCTCCCCAGGGAGGAGGGGGCTCAGCAGCAGGGCACCGGTGTCCCCTTCAGCCCTCGGCAAGCGGAGGCAGGGGCAGCCTCCGGCTGGGGCTCTGCCAGGGCGACCTGGTCACAGAGGGGAAGTGGTGCAGTGGGAAAGGGCCCAGCCCTTGAGTCTCACTGACTTGGGGTCTGTGGCCAACCTGCGTGGGACCTGGGGGAGCTCACTTCCTGTCTTCCTCTCCCCACAGCCTCTTGAGGTTCTCATGGGTCTCAGAGAAACCAAAGAGCCCGACCCTGTGCGTACCCTGTGTATGCCCTGCACAGACGGGGCTGGCTGCCCGTGCCCTGCGGCGTGGCGGGCATGGTGGAGTGCCGGGGAGTTCTGGAGGTAACGGCCTGCCACAGCCGGCCCCTCCCCTCCCGCACCTACTGCCGGGCCAGGCCTCCCCGAAGGGCTCCAGCAGAAAGGGACCCTCTCCACAGGGCACACCTGCTGGCTTGCCCTCCTTCCTTCTGTCTCCCCTGGGGCCGTAAGGGCGCAGCAGAAACTCGGTGTGGGAAGGCTGCTCGTAGACACCTGGAGACTTGAGGGGCTGGGGGTGAGGAGTGAGGACAATGTGGTGGGTTGTCAGGACCTGCCCACCTCTGCGTCCCACCTGAGTGTGACCCTGTGGACTGAGGGCTGCTGAGGACCAACTCTGGGAGGGAGGGAGAGTAGGGAGTCCCAGTGGCCCTGACCCGGACAGGAGGCCAGGAACCAGCCTTCCTTCTAGGGGCCACCCTCTTACATCCGGAGGAATGCCAAAGGCATCTGGGGGCCCCTGGGAGTTCACACTGGGGGGAGTGCTGGTCTGGCTACGTAGTGGCCCTGCGAGGCCTGAGGGCTCCCCGCACCTGGCCGTCCTCGGCCGTGTTTGGCCACAGGCTGATCTTCCACTGAAGGCCACTGACCTTCCCTCCACCTGCTGACCGGGAGGGGACTCCACCGATGTGTGTGTCCTGGGAGCCGTGCGGGGGAGATCTCAGGGACTGAGGGGCTGTCTGGCTCGTCCCCCATCCTCCTGAGCCTGCTTCCCTCTTTGTAAAGTGGGAACCCCGCTGCCGTTTCCCCCACAGGGCTGAGGCAAGGGGTGTGGGCTCCCGCAGGGCACAGGCCGGCAGGTGCTCAGGCAGTACTGGGCCCTGCCATTTTCCTGGTCACTGTGCCATTCCCTGGGCCTCGTCTGCTCCTCCCCGGACATCCTGGGTGCGGGGGTCACTCTCACCCGCCTCCCTCTGTTCGGAAATCTCACTAGGCCGGGCCTGACTCGGGCCCGGGCCCTCCCTGACACCCTTCCCTCCTGAATTTGTCTCCCCAGCACTGCTCAGCCCCTCACCTACTACACGGTTTCCCCGTTTGGATTTTGTCTCGGGGGCTCCCTGCCCTCTCTCCAGCACCTAGAACAGTGCCTGGTACAGAGTGAGTCTCCGAAAGTACTTGCTGAAGGAATGCGGCGTCTGCTCACAGTCGGCCTGTGCTGGTCGGACTGTGCCAGTCAGACAGGGCCGAGAGCTGCAGGGAGGCCCAGAGCCCTCGGCCCTTGTCCCTGCAACGCCGGGGGAGGCTCCCTGCTCTCCCACCTGCCACCCGCAGGTGCTACTAGCCCCCAGGTGGCGGTGACTGTGTCCCCCATCCCAAGGCCGGGCTGAGAACGGCTGAGAACGGCTGGGCTGCCCTGGGCCGCAACCCCCAGGGATGCTGGACTGTGTGGGGGTATGTGTGCACGTTTACGTGTGTGCGTGCACATGTGCGTGTAAGTGTACGTGTGTGTGTATGTGTGGATGGTGGGGGGCAGGGAGATGAGGGCCTGAGTCTAGGCAGCCTGGGCCTGTGAAAACCTGGACAGGGTTTCCAGAACCACATCATGGAAAGGCCTCACCTGCCCTTGGAGAGTCTGGAGTGGAGGGCAGAGGGCTGGGGGCTCTCCACCTCGCGACGGCATTGTATGGAGCCTCTGTCTCTCCTGCCCCTCGTCCCAGGGTCCCCACATTCCTCCAGGGAGGGGGACTTTGTAGCAGTGTCCTGTGTGTCAGCGCTAGGTACAGGAGAAAGACAAAGGGAATCCCTGTTCTGGGGCCCCTGACCACTCCCAGGACAAAATATGACAAAAGACGAAGGAGGGCCCACGCGGCTGAGGGCTGAGGCGGGCAGGGAAGCCCACAGAACTGCGCACACTGTGTGGCCCCTTTTCATGAATCACAAACCCTGCTTTTCTGCAGACACTTACCTGAGAATGGAAAGGCACAAAATAGGATGGGAGGAAAAAGTCCAAAGGGAGAACAGCCCCCCTCTGGGGACAGCAGGGAAATGCCCCACCTTACTCACAGACTCCTGTGTTGTTTGAGGGTTTTTTCGTGAGAACGTGTTCAGGTATTACTCACAGAATTGCAAATAAAAATAATTTTTACGTAAGGAGTGCGCCCTGGGTCTCCGAGCACTTTCACATCTAGATCTGGGGGGGCCGGGCCCCTCTGTCCCCCGGGACTGCCCCCGCTTATCACCGAGCTTGTCCAAGTGGCAGAGTTTCCTCCTTTCCCCCACCCTGTCCCCAAGGCATGAAGGGCACAGGCCACGCTTCACAGCCGGCCGGGCACAGGCCCTGTCCGGGCTCCCGGGACGCGCCGGGTCATTCCTCTGCCCCGCAGAGCCCCTGCTTCGCCACCTGGACACCGGTTGTCAAGATACCGCCTGGGTCAGACCTATTGGGGGAGTGTCTTGAGGGGAATTCAAGGGACAAAGATCATGGGAGACTCCCTTTTCCCTGACAGACCCCAGATTAATTATCTTTGTAAAACGATTCACCAGGAAGCGAAAACGTGAGAACACGGAGACGTTCGTTAGGTGGGTTTTTCAGCAACAAAGACCCTTCTTGGGGCACTTGGGTGGCTCAGTGGGTTAAGCCTCTGCCTTCAGCTCAGGTCACGATCTCAGGGTTCTGGGATCAAGCCCTGCATCCCTGCATCAGGCTTTCTGCTCAGCAGGGAGCCTGCTTCCCCCCCTCTCTCTCTGCCTGCCTCTCTGCCTACTTGTGATCTCTCTCTCTGTGTCAAATAAATAAAATCTTTTTTTTTAAAAATTCCCTTCTTTTCTACATAGTACCTTTGAGGCCATGATACCAGAGTTATAAATAAAAATAAAATAAAAACTATCAAGCACCCAGCTGGCTCAGTCAGTAGAGTGTGAGACTCGATCTTGGGTCCTGAGTTCGAGCCCCACACTGGGTGTAGCAATTACTTAAAAAAAATAATAATGGGGCGCCTGGGTGGCTCAGCCGGTTAAGGTTTGCCTTCAGCTCAGGTCATGATGTTGGGGTCCTGGGATCGAGCCCGCATGGGGCTCCTTGCTCAGCGGGGAGCCTGCCTTTCCCCCTCCCACTCCCCCAGCTCCTGTTCCCTCTGTCAAATAAATAAAATCTTCAAAAAAAAAGTGATGGAGAGAACATGAATAAAGAAATTAATCGTCACTTCAGAGATGTGAACCAAAATAAGGAATACACTGAGAATTTAACCTAGCATTTATCATGCTGGTCCGTCGCGGAAATTTCTCTTAACTGTGAGGTCGAGATTCGAGGCCTCCCTCCGCCTCCCGTTCAGAAGTGGCGAGTGAGAAGGTGCGTGCGGGGTCGGGCACCTGCCCACGCCACTGACACGAATCACACACGCCTTTCGCCGTTGCCTGCTTTGTCCTGGGCACGTGGCCCGTTCGGCACCCCGGCGGCCCCCGGGAAACAGTCCCGCTCCCCACTCTGACTGGCGCCCCTGAAGGCCACGTCCCCTGCTTTCTACGGGAGCCCGTGCGGGCCCCAGTGAGACGGGCCCGCCCAGCCTGCGCAGAAGTGGCTCCTGCAAGTGACCCCAGACTGGCCCCACGGGCCCACCTTCTCCCAGGGACGGGTTCCTCACTCCCAGTCCCCGCAAGACTCAGTCTGCTCTGCCCGATGGAATGAGGGTTCAGTGAGGCGCCCGGTCCCATATAAGGGCTCTGCGGTCCTCAGGGTGACAGGTCGTAACAGCTCCGCCAGGGGTGGGGGTGGGGGTTCTGCCGCCGCTCCCCTCCAGGCTCCAGGTCCCCCCACGCCCTCACCACACACCCACACTCACACCCACACCCACCGCCCCAGACCCACTTCTCCTTTGCAGCTGCCTGACGCCTACACCTTCCTGCCAGGGAGTTGTTGGCCCGTGGGCAGGGGCCGGAGAGGCAGTGGGCCAGGGCTCCTGGAGGCCAGAAACCTGGGGCCCAGCCTCGCTTCCCTCACTCCACAGCATCACTCTTTCCTCCTAAACAACTTCGAGATGGTTCCCCTGCCCTGGACCCCTGTGTCCTATCTCCAACGCCACAGTAGCCAGAGAGAGAGGGTCCTTAGGAAGCACAGCTCCCTGCACTCACGTACCTCCTGGGGCTCCCCGGGGCCCAGCGCCTCTGCAGCCTCAGGCTCCCTGCCTCCCCAGCACCCCGCCAGGTAGCCATGCCTGTCCCCAGAGTAAGCGTCCCCGTAAGCGTCCCCTCTTACCTCTCTTTGCCTTTGCCCTTGCCAGTCTCTCTGCCTGGAAGCTTCTCTCCCCCTTGCAGCTGCTGAAGATCTACTCCCGTGCCCAAGCCCCTGCTGTCCCCTGGATCCCCAGCCCTGACCGCATAGGGGTCTGGTGTGGCCCACCGTGTCCGCTGTGCTGGGGCTCGCTGCCAACCCCTGCCCCCAGGGCCAGGGCAGCAGACGTCAGGAAGGCTTGTGTGTGTGTGTCTGAGACTCAATCTGAGAGACCGAGGGGGACAGACAAGTGGGGAAACCCAAACACTGGAAAGGAAGGACAGACAGAGGGGACTTCTGAGACGCAGAGGCAAGCAGGCCGGGACACACATATCCTGGGGAGAAGGAGTTGGGGTGGGCCGGCCGCCCACTGGGCCCTGGTCTGTCTGTTCATCTGTTGATCTAAGTCTCCCTCCTTTCCAGGATCTGGAGACAGCTGTGAGCCCTTGGACCCTCGGCTACCCCCCCTCCCCTGGCCGTGCCCTCTGCTCCTGCCAGAGGTTGCTTACTCTCACGCAGCTCGGACTAGGCACTGTCTGCTCAGAGCCCCGCAGAGTCCCCTGGTGCCCTCAGCCAGGGTCGAACTCCATAACCCTCCACTGAGGTCCCAGCCTAGCCCTCCGACCCAGCACTCTCTGGGCTCCTGCTCTGTCCTCCTCTGTCACGCTCCCCTAGACCTCGCTCCCTCTGGCAAACATCTTCTCAGTATTGCCTCCGTGACAAAGCCTTCCTGTCCCCCTCCGTGGCTGCTGCTGGGAGACACTGTCTTTCCCTGGGAGATGGGGCACTCAGGAAGCATCCGATAAGAGGACCCAGCTCTGCCTGGGAAGGGCAGGAAGGAGCCCCAGGGGCGGGTGTAGCTGGTGGGGGCTGTCTGGGGCTGGGGCTGGCCCTTGGGGAGCAGGACAGAGGAGGCCACCCCGAGGTCTTTGTCCTGACTATGAGGCCCAACTCTATCGGCCAAGAGCAGGCCCCGGTCTGCACCCCAGCTCTGTCCCAGAGCCCAGCACGGGGCCCACCCAGCCAGCGACTGGGGGTGATGGTTGAGCGGTTGAGTGGAGGAACCGCAGGTAGAAAGAGAAGGTGTGGGGTGCAGGGCCTTGGGGCCCTGGGTGACGGTGGTCCCACCCCAGCAGGCAGGAGGGTGGGGCGGGGCACAGTGGGTGGTGGCCCCTCCCGGTTTCCTCCTCCCGACAGCAGAAGCCAGACTCAGTGCGCCGGGTGTGAGGCAACATGGGCAGCAAGAGGAGAGGGGCCAGGAACAGGAGGGGCAGGGACGGCCCGGCCCCCACACAGTGTGTCCAGGCCCAGTGCTTTGACCCTCTGGTCCGAAACTGCGTGGCCTGCAATCTCTTCCGGACGCCAGAACCGAGACCGGGTAAGAGCCCGCCCAGTCGGCCAGCTGGGCAGCAGGGCAGTCCTGGTGGGGGGAGAGAGGGACCCCTACCAGCCCCGCGGCACCCAGGAGCCGCAAGCATGGTCTCTACCCCCTCCCCCCAGCCCCACGATGGGGAAGGGGCGCGGTGACCAGTTTGATGGGGGCCTGTAAGCAGGGGGCCTGCTTGGGGACCTGTGGTCCCCACGTGGCCCTCACCGCTCCCTGTCGTCCCCTCCTCCTGTCCACCCGCCCGGCCCTCTCTCGCCTCCCTGGCCCAGCCTCGCCTCCCACCGACCCTTCCCCTCCCCCGCCGTCTCTTCCCTCCGCCCCCTGCCCGCCCTCTCCGTCCCTTCCCCCAGCAGCGGGGGCCAGCAGCAGCCTGGCGCCCGGGACGGCGCTGCAGCCGCAGGAGTCGGTGGGCCCGGGGGGCGCGGCGGAGGCCGAGGCGGCGCTGCCGCTGCCCGCGCTGCTCTTCGGCGCCCCCGCGCTGCTGGGCCTGGCGCTGGCCCTGGTCCTGGTGGGCCTGCTCGGCTGCCGGTGGCGGCAGCGGCTGCGCGCGGCGGCTCCCCCAGGGACCCCGGAGCCGCACCCCGGCGGTAAGTAACGCGGGGCCTGGGAGCTGGGAGGGAGCCTGCAGCGGGGGCCGTGCTCTGGGGCGGGCGCTGAAGACCTCGGGTCGATTCCCCGGGGGGGACACGACTCTAGCCTCCCAGAGCCCTCGGAGCCCGAGAGCCAAGGCTCCCCCGCTTCTCCCTTCCCCCGCACCTCCCATTTTGCCAGCCCGCTCTGCACTTCCTGTCCCGAGGCCCCATGCCCTGCCACCCCTCCGCACCCCTGCAGAGGAGCTTCGGGACTAATGGCTCCGTCCAGGGGTGTCCCTCCAGTGAGGCTTCCTGCACAGGGGTGGGGAAGGGCTGTGACGCAATCCTGACCTTGCATTCCCCACCTCCCCCCACCAGAGACCCTGGACCATGTCACCATCCTCCCCCCGGGACCCCTTGATGCCACCGCTCCCGTCTGGCCTCCAACCAGAGAAGACGCAGCCAACACCCCACCTGCCCACAGCGTCCCCGTGCCAGCCACAGAGCTGGGCTCCACTGAGCTGGTGACCACCAAGACAGCCGGCCCTGAGCAGCAGTAGCGACGGAGGGGGCAGGAGGTGGCCCCTGTCCTCCCAGTGGGCCGTCAGCCAGGGGCTTGGAGGTTGGATTCGGCTTCACCCCCCGTGCCCACCTGCCCCTTTTCTGGGAACCACGCTGCTCCCCTGCTAACCCCGCAGAGCCACAGACTACAGACCTCAGACGGCAGGCGTGGCGGCCCTACCGCACCGTAGCATTTGGCTTAAAACCAGACCATCTTTGGCGGTCCTCGAAGGTTGTGGCTGAGCTCCCGTGCTTTTGAGTGGCTGGGGCACATGGCGTAGGAGGTTTTTCTCTAAGCGCAGGGAAGCCACCATCCACCAGAATGAATCTAGGAGAAGGATCAGGTGGGAGGATGCTTAATTTATAGCTGGGTGACGTATCTCTTTAATACGTGCTCTCCCAGCTGTCCTGCTTCTAACCGATGGAAATGGCAGCAAGGAGTAACCAGCCGACAGGTTTGCTTCAGGATTTAATACAGAATGATTCTGATTGTAAAAGAGCCTGAATTGTGCTAATTCTCAGGTATCTGTACCCAAGGGCCAACCCTGAGCTTGGCCCAACCTTCTAGGACCTGCGATGCCATTTTTCACCCCAGTAGCAGCTTCCAGAGCCCCAGGCTTGCCCTTGGGAGGAAGTCTCCAGCCCCCTGGGGCTGGACTGCAGGCTCACGCTGAAGGCACACGGCCAAGCTTCTCTCTCGGAGGCCACCTGGAGTCCCAGCTGTCTCCGAGGCGCTCTCAGCTGTACACAGGGAAAGGCCCAGGACCACCAAGGGGCTCCTTTGTTCAGAAGCCAGAGCAGACCTGTGGCCTTGAACCAGCTGGACCTGATGTCCCTTGAGCTCCCTCTCTCCATGGCCTGCCCTTCTGAAGCACTAGGCCCCAAGTGCTATGGTCACTCGGCCATTTTGTACCAGCCCCCGGGGTCACCTAATCTCCCAGGGGAATTGCTCCTCTGACAGCAGTGCCCCTTGCTCTGGGGCCTGGGACTGAGACCATCTCGTTGAGTTGTGGACCATGCCGTACTTGGTCAGGCACTGCGTCTCCTGCCGGCTCTCCTACAGAGTTAGAACCTCCTGACCCGGACAGTCCTTGGAACTTGTCACAGGTTAGCACCCTCCGAAGGAACATGGACTAGGAATTAGAAGATGGAGTTTTGGGTCCCATTTGTCCCACTGTAGGGCCTTGGCCATGTTCTGTTCCATGCATCTGATGCCTTTCTGCCCACTTCTCCCTGAGCTGCCCAGCAGAGCTGCCTGGCAGATACCCACCCTTCCTGGCCACCGGCTTCTCAGCCCAGAAGACGGCCTGGAGCCCCCAGCACCCTGACACCCAATTTAACTCTTCCTAAGCCACTCCCTCCCTGAATTCATCCCAGGTGCCCCTCTCTGCAAGCTGCCAGGTGGCTGGGGCAAGGTCAGATGGCTGGCAGTCGGCAGGAGGGTGGGAAGCTGGCCCAGCATGGGCCCAGACCTCCACTGTACTTCAACTGGGTACTGGAGAGTCTATGCTGTTCCTGGCCCCCTCTGCCTCCCACTCACCTTTTGTACCAGAGCAGGGGGCTGGGCCCTGGGGGTAAAACCCCTCTGGGGTCCAGACATGCAAACCTCTGGCACCACTGTGTCCCAGCCAAACCCCAGCTTCCCCTCTGGTCTCGGTTTCCATTTCTGAAAAATTGGGGCCGGGGGGTGGGGAGGTGTTGGATGCAAAGTGTTTCTCCAGGCCTGTCGCTGTCCGCTGTCCGAGGAGAAGGACTTGAAAGAACCTGAAAAGATCCTTGTCCACACCCCACCATTTTACAGATAAGGAAACTGAGACCCAGAGAGGGACAAGACTTGGCAAATAACAGAAGGGAGGTTCCTTGGAGAAGAACCAGGAGCAGAGGCGGGGGGAGGCATGGGCAACGAGGGGGTCAGTGTCCCCCAGACCCCGGGAAAGGACCCCACCACTCAGGGGCTTCCAGTCTCTGGCTCTGTGTCCCAGGAAGTGTTTTCTAAGAAGCCTTCAATGAAGTCACAGCTTTTGATCTTAAGGACAGCACCCCGAGGAGGGGCGTGGGTATTTGTTCGCTTTTTTCTTTTTTTTTTTTAAGGTTTTATTTATTCATTGGAAAGAGACAAAGAGGATGAGTGTGGGGCAAGGGCAGAGGGAGAGGGAGAAGCGGACTCCCCACTGAGCAGGGAGCCCCCCATGGAGCTTGGACACCAACCCAGGACCCTGAGATAATGACCTGAGCCCAAGTCAGATGCCTAACCGACTGAGCCCCCCAGGCATCCCTTGTTCGCTTTTTAAAAAGTTTTCTTTTTTTTTTAATTAGAAAAAAATTGAGACAAATACTTTGTAAACGCTTTGGAAAATTCAGGGCAGTGACCCAGGGTGGAGGCCATGGAGAAATGACCCATAAGCCTGAGTGACTGTCATCATTTTACACACATAAATTCGTACCTTGGCTGTCATACTTGGTGAGTTTTGTCTGGTCTTTCAACACTTCACCAACAAGATTTTCAACATTTGTAAAGGCTTCCACTTGAGTACTTGGTTGTTTTGAGCTTTTACTACTGTAGCTGAGGTAGCGCTGCCTCCTTGACCTAAACCTTTGCCTGAGTTTTTTTATGGGCCCTGTGGGTTGAATTGATTTCCTAAAAATCTGGACCAGTTCATGTCCGTGAACAGGGATTAGATGTCCCATTTTGCAGATAGGAAAAAAGAGGCCCTGGAGGTGAGAGGATCTCGCCCAAGCTACAGTTGGCCCACCATGGTGGAGCTGGGCTAGAGAGGCTCCGGCCCCTGCCCAGCACCCCTGTCCAGAAGGTCACTGGCCCAGGTGCCCTCCTTGGGGACGACGGACTCCAGGAATCCATTCCGGGCTTGACTACTTGCTTTCGTCACTCCTCAAAGATGTTTCTCCCCAACTGGTCTCTTTTTGCTTTAAAAGGGACCCAAGATAGACTCTGGAAGAACTGCTGGTTGGGGTGGGGACCTAGGGAAGCAGCTTCCCCTCCCCCCAGCCTGGGTTTCTGGCCAGTTTTTCCTGAAGGAGGCTCTGGTTTCCCTGAGGTCCCCAGGGCCCGGGCAGGTGGAGGCAGGGCTGGCTCAAGTCTCAGTTCCTCCTGGGGCTTCCTGCAGGCACCTTTCACTTCCTGCCGAGCAGCCCTGGGCTCTGGGGTCAGGGTGGGGGTGGGGCGGCCCAGCTGGGGAGGCCCGGGAGGAGAGACCTGACCCCTTGGCTCCCGAGGTCTCAGCCAGGACAGCCCACACAGCCCTTCCCTCTGAGCCTGCCTCCTCATCTCCGAAATGGAGCCCAAGGGCCAAGCCGCCTTCGGAGATGAAAGAGGTCATGTGGCAAGTAGAAGGGTTTTCACCCTAGAGTGCCGCCTCCTCCTTTCCCTGGGATGGAGTCACCAGCCCTAGGAAATTCCTCTGGAAGGTGAGTTTCCCAGAGCTGGTCTGAGGCTCTGGTCTCAGCAGTTACCACTCCTGCCACTTGCCCATTTGTTTACTGCTCCACTGGTCACACCAGATCCAAACACACCTGCTCTGGGCCAGCGCCATTCTGGGCAATGCTTGGAGGTCAGCCTCGGGCCCTGCCATTAGGTTCTGGTTCAATGGGAGAGAAGGAGTGGGACATAACGACGGGACAGGGCGATCCCTGCCCCAGGCAGGGGGATTGACTGACCAGCATCTAGGAAGTGCTTTGGACCGTAGGAAGTACGCCCTGAGCCTTGCCCACTTTTCCTGCTGGAATGGAGCGGAGAATAGGCATTCCTGGTCCAGGGGACTGTGTGCAAAAGTGCAGAGGAGAGGGCGGGCGCAAAAGGGTCACGAAGCAGGGCGCAGGGGCGGGGAGCTGGAGAGGTGGGTACCCTGACCTCAGAGTGCCGGGTGGGGCTGTGTCACAACCTTTCCTGCACTCCTGCCTGCCCCTCGGCTCATGGGAGGCATCCATCCCCCCTCAGGGAACCCCAGGTGCTTCTCCAACCCCACCGTTTAGGGTCTCACCAGACCCCTCTGGCCCTCCTCTGGGCCCAGGGTGGGAACTCACTCCCATTTGCTCTTTTTTGGGCGGCTGAGGTCCCATTCTTCCCCACCCAGAGCAGGAATCTGCCCTCCCTCCAGTCTCTACCTGCTCCCCAGCGGCCAGGTCCCGACCCGGGGGTGGCGGTGGGGGTGGGGTAGGAACGACGGCCCGGGGTACCGCGGAAGGAGGGTGGGGGAGGAGCGGGGAGGGCACGGATGTCCCTGTTCCAGGCCCACCCTCTTTCCCGGGACTCTGTAGGGAGGGGAAGCTGCCCAGGCAACGCTGCAGGGGTCCCGGGGCCCAGAGGGCCTCTGAACATCTCCTCCACCTCCCCTGAGCTGCAGAGAATCTGTGGTCCGGGAGATGACTCCGGGGCAGGCGAAAGTCTAGCTCCGCAGCTTCCGCGGTCAGCCCAGCAGGAGGCACCCAGACCTGAAGCCGCGGGGTGGCGGGAGTGGGGCCGCAGGACCGAGCGGGCGGGGACGCGGCTGGAGGCGCGGCTGCGGGCGGGGTCGGGAGGGAGGCGGGGCTGAAGGACACCGAGCCCCCGGGGAGTCGGAAAGGGGCGGGGCCGGGGCGAGTAGAAGGAGGGAGTTGAAGGCCAAGGGGCGAGGAGAAAGGGCGGCCCCCGACGAGCGGCTGGACCTAGACCACCAGAACCTTCTCCAAATCCTCACGCGGGGTTCCGGTCCTCACGAGCATCCCGGGCCAGATGCAGGGCATGGCCCCGGCTTTGGAGCGAGGCCTCTATGTCGAGGGGCTCAAAAACCGCTGTGGGCTGGGAGCTGACCTCAGAATTGTGTCCAGGAACCGGCAGGCCGGCGGGACGGGGGCGGGGGGGGCGTGCTATGCCGGGTTGGGGGACGCGCTGTGTGGCCTCCGCTGAGCTCTGTCCTCTCTGAATCTATTCCCGTCGTAGGGACTTAGTGGCCAGTCCAGATCTGCATATTCACTGGGGCCGGTAGTAGGTTGGGGGGGGGGGGGGGGTGTTAATCAGGGAATTCCAGCTGTGATGTCTGCAGCGCGACTCCCTGAGGCAGGGGAGGGGAGCTCCAGGGAGAGGGTGCTCCAGGATTTGGGACTGGAGGCTAAGCCCCCGCTCCCAGCACCCCTCCTCCCCCCATGTTGCTCCCTCAGGACCTCAGCCTGGGCGCCCCCTCCCTCCCACAGGCAGCTGGAGCCTGAGTCACAAGCTGCCTCGCAGGGAGACAAAGGAACCAGGGGCCCTCCCTTCCCGACCTGCTCCCGCACTGGAATAGGCATCGGTGCCAGCAGGGAGTCCATCTTTCTCTAGAATCTCTGCTTTTGGGGCAGCCCTCTATCACGGAAGAAATGGAAGCAAAGTGGGCTTGGGAATGGGATCGTGGAGGCTTACGGATGGCACCCACCGTGGCAATCACTGTCTCAGCGCCGTGGAGGTGGGACACTGGACAGCATGTACCTGAGTGTTTCTCCATGGGGTTTGGGGGGGACTGGCTTCTCCCTGCAGCCCGGCCAGAGAGGTGCTAGCTGAAAGAAAACAGGCCTAGAAAGATTGGCTGGTCCTATTAGAGCGGGAATCCCAAACCGCCTTAGTCTGTCTCCAAAATGAAGGATAAGTAGGAGCCGTCCTTGTGAGGGGCTGGAAAGGCATTCTGGGGACAGGAACAGCCTAGGGCTGGGAACAAGAGGCTCCTGTAGGAGTCGGGGCACATCAGGCATCGTCAGGCATGGAGTGTTATCGGGCTGTAGGAGCACTTGCCTGGCCTCTGGGCCAGAACTTCCCGCTGCTCTCTTTTTTGTATTAAACTGGTCAGAAATAGGATTGAGACTCACAGTTCAGGTTCCAAGTCAGACCCTGGTCCTTCCTGGCTGTGCGCCAGTTACAGCAAGCCATTTCCACTCTCTGGGTCTTGGGTTTGTCTCTAGGAAATCCCAAATTCCCTGGCCCAGGGCTGGGCAGACTGGTCACTGACCTTCAGTCTAAAATGGGGACACTGAGGCCCCTCCTGGGCTTTCCCTAATGTCCATGACCTCTCAGGACCCTGAGCCTCGCACAGCCAGAGCTGGGCACCAGGCAAGGACTCAACCATGAAGGAAGAACACATGTGCCCAGGGGTACGCACACCAACACACACACACACACACACACACGTGCACGCACATGTCCAGGGGGGAAGGAAGGGCTCATAACCAGGCTGCCCCCAGACACGCACTCTCACTCGCATTCGGAAGCACACGCAGACACCCTCACACTCAAGCTGCTGGCGCTCAGAGCTGGGGGCGGGGCGGGTGCCCTTCAGGCACAGAGACACGGCTCCTCTGCCTGCCCCGTGGGGCCCGCTGCAGATGCCAGGGGTTATTTTAAGCCCGGATCAATGGGCGATTTTTGGTGACACAGGCTTGGGGGGCAGGCAGAGGAGCCGAGAGACGGGTGCTCTGGTACCTTACTGAGGAGAAAGACCCCAGGGTCCAGGGAGGGTAACCTGGGCCAAGGGGTCACCCCTTAGCTGGGCCGCTCCATTTCCAGATGGTCAGCAAATGGTCAGGCACCCGAGGGGCAGCGCCAGCTGAATGAGTGGCCAGATCCCGGGTTCAGTCAGTCAGCCCTGATCTGTCTCTGCATTTGTCGCCTCCCCCCCACCTGCCCCCAGGCTCTGTGTTAATATTGAGAGAGCATAAGTGTCTGGCATTGGCCTGGTAGATGTGGGCATCTATGGTTACTGGCTGACCACTGAGCCAGGCCGAGACCGGAGGAAGCCTTGGATGTGGGGAGGAGCTGGAGGCTGGACAATCCGCTGGGGGGGGGCGAGGGGCTGTAATTCGGGATCCAGCTCCTTCATGGACAAACGATCATATATATCATGTGTATATGATATATATGACCTATGTATCATATATATGATCTATAACCATATATTATATGGTTATAGTATATCTATATCTATATATCTATGTGTCATATCTATAACCATATACACGTATATATAAGTGGACCTGATGGCAGCAACAGGGGCTGGAATCTCAGCAGGGCACCCAGTGGTGCAGGGACAGTGGGATAAGAGAGGGGCCTCGGGGGGCGCCTGGGTGGCTTAGTGGGTTAAGCCTCTGCCTTCAGCCCAGGTCATGACCTCAGGGTCCTGGGATGAGCCCCACATGGGGCTCTCTGCACAGCAGGGAGCCTGCTTCCCCCCCCCCCTGCCTGCTGCTCTGCCTACTTGTGCTCTTTCTCCCTCCATCAAATAAATAAATAAAATATTAAAAAAAAAAAAAAAGAGAGGGGGTGCCGGGGAAGGGACATAACCCAGGGAGGAGCACTGGAAGCTCTGGGCTCAGTAAGGCCATCCTACCTGGGATGAGGCCACAGTCCCAGGGGGACAGAGTCAAGCCTCTTAAACCTAGTGTCCAGCCATAGGGTGAGAAAAGGGGAAGAAGCAGTCCCCCTGAGAGCCCTGGTAAACTGGAGGGCATGGTGGGGACACTGATACAAATGGGACAGTTTGTGCCATGGAGTCCCTTTCTGGAACAACACCCCCGACCCGGGCCCCCAGGGACCAAGAATGGCTGCACCAGGAATATAGCAACTAAGTTCTAAACAGAATAACAAATGGAAAGTTTGATAGCGTAAAGTAAACTAAAAAACGAGTCACTGAAAAACAGTATGTAAAGTGGGGCTTATTTTAGCCTCAGTTGTCCCTGGTGATGGGATTAAGGCAATTTCACTTCATTGCTTTGCTCATCTATTTTCTTTGGCTCTAAAATTGTGATAGTCTTCTAACGGGGTAGGGTCTTCTGAGACGGATCAGAAGAGTGTTGTATGGGGAGGAGGAGGGAGCCGGCTATCTCTGGACAGGGCAGGAGGAATGACCCCGAGGAGGGAGGGCCTCTAGGCATTAATACCTGAAATTAGCCTGTCAGCCCCTCATCTCCACAACACGCGGACTTGATCCTCCTTTAAATGTAAATCCTTCTCCTTCCCCCTCTACTTCCTCCATTTTTATAAGCTGATCCCAGTCGCTGAGTGAAGACACCATGCAAAGGGGAGCAGGGAGAACCCTAGGAGCCCAAATCTTACAAAAACTAGACGCTAAAGTCACATCATTCGTTCATTCATTCATTCATTCATTCATGCAGCAGATACGACGCGGTGTGGGAACACTGGGGCGCAGTGGACGCCCAGCCCTTGTTCTCCTGGTGCTCCCCTCTGGACACTGGGAGGCACCGTACTGGCCCCTGCCTCCTGGAAGGGGTGGAGTATGAAACTGCCCACCACCCACCTCCCCGAAGAGTTTTTGTTGTTAAGATGAGAAACTGAGGCAGAGAGAAGCAAGGCGCCCCGAATCGGTCACATTTTCCAGTTAAACTCAGCTTCGAAAACACCATGGAACGGCTCCGTGCTAAGCCCAAGTTCCGAACCGCCTTCTTCCCCCTTCTCCCGGGGCTGGCGGGGGGCACCTGGGGGGCACCTGAGCGTCCTTGGTGGGGCCGAGCGGAGGTTCCGCCGCTGGCCCCGCCCCCTGACCCGGCCCCGCCCCCCGCAGCGGAGTCAGGGTCCAGCCTAATCTCCCCCGCCCCGCACACCTGGGATAGCGAAGAGATCCCGGGAGGACGCGGACTAGGCCATGCCCATCGCCGTAGAAGTGGGGGACACCGCAGGGCCCCAATCCGGGGTCCAAGAGGTTTGGGGACCAGGGCGCACGGCCCAGGGGTAACGCTGCGCTCCAGGCGGCGCAGAGACGACCGGTACTTGGCTCTGTGGCGCGGCTCTGCTCGGGGTTTCCTTCCCATTCGAGAGGCGGGAAAATCGAGGCGCAGAGTGGGGAAAGGGCCTGCCACCTGTCACACTCTGTCCCGGCCAGAACTGACGGAGAGGATGGGGAGGAGGAGGAAGGGGTGGGAGCGGCAACGACCCTCCCGGGACTCTCTGTCCCCTAAGTCCCCGCACCTGTACAACCGAGGCGCACTCCCGCGGGCCTGCGTCCGAAGTAACAGTCCTGAGAGCATCAGCTGAAGGCCCTGGAGCCCCCAGTTCCGAGGAATGTTTCTGAGAGGCCCTCGGGGGGGGGTCCCCGCGGGGGCGCCCCGGTGGTGCGGGCCCTGCCGCGCCCCCTCCCTCCCCTCGCGGCGGCCGCGCTCCTCCCCCGGCTCTGCTTCGCGCCCGCCCGCCCTCCTCCCCTCGCTCCCTCCCTCCCCCGCCCGCCCGAGCCCGCGCGGAGCCCGAGCCGCAGCCAGAGCGCGGGCAGCGCGGAGCGGGCGGCGGGAAGGCAGCGGAGTCGGGCGGCCCGCCGCCCCCGCTAGGCCCGGGCCACGCACGCCCGCCAGGCCGGGGAGAGGCCGGGGACCGCGCGCGGGCGAGGACTGGCCGCCCGGCCCCGGGGGGCGTCCCGGAGCGAGGACCGCGGGCTCGGCTCCGAAGTGAGTCGGCGGGGGACGCGCCCACCGGAGGGGCGGCCCCGCGAGCTCTGGGCGGTGGCCTCCCGGCTCCGGGGTCCGAGGAGGAAGGTGACCGCCGAGGAGGCGTCCGCCGCAGCCGGCGCCCGGGCGGCGGGGCCCGCGAGGTCCCGGAGGGCGCCGAGGAGCCGGCCCGGAGGCCGGGCGGCAGGGAGCCGCGGCGCGCCGCCATGCGCGGGCCGCTGTAGCCGAAGGCGCGGGCCCGATGGAGCGGGCCGGGGCGCGGGGGCTGCGGGGCGGCGGCGGCGGCCCGCCGGGGCTCCGGCTCGCGCTCGGGCTGGCGCTGCTGCTGGCGCGGCCGCCGTCGGGCCGCGCGGGGGCCCCCGAGGCGCAGGAGCCCGCGGAGGAGCCCGGCACGGCGGCCCCGGCCGGGGGCGACCGCTGCCGCGGCTACTACGACGTGATGGGCCAGTGGGACCCGCCCTTCAACTGCAGCTCCGGCGCCTACAGCTTCTGCTGCGGCACGTGCGGCTACCGCTTCTGCTGCCACGACGGGCCGCGGCGCCTCGACCAGAGCCGCTGCTCCAACTACGACACGCCTGCCTGGGTGCAGACGGGCCGGCCACCCGCGCGTGCCCGCGACGCCGCCGCGCCCCGGGACCCGGGCCGCGAGCGCAGCCACACGGCCGTCTACGCGGTGTGCGGCGTCGCTGCGCTGCTAGTGCTGGCCGGCATCGGGGCGCGCCTGGGCCTGGAGAGGGCGCACAGCCCGCGCGCGCGGCGCACGGTGACCAGGTGAGCGCGCGCCAGCCCCGGGCCCGGGGTCCCCCGCCCGCCGCGCCTGGACGGTCCTTCCCGACCGGTGGGCGCCCCCTCGCCCTCCCTCATCCTTCCCTCCCGTCTGGAAACTCTCGTCTCTCGGCAGCCCCCTCCTGGGTTTTCCTTCCTATTTCTGTCTCCAGGCCTGTTACTCCCCCTATCCCCACTTCCTGGAGGGAGACAGCTGATACCGTCTTCCCTTGACCTTCCAGAGGGAGCTGGGTGCTGAGCCCTTCTCCCCCGCGGCTCCCGCCTCCTCCGGAGTGGGCGGGAGGGCTGGTCGCCCTGGACAGAGGGCACCACGACCGCGCACCCCGGAGAGCGGGCCTGGAGCCTGAGACCCACTAGTGCGGGGTAGCGTAGGCTGATGTAGCGTTGGGCGTCTCGGTCCCCCATCGGAGGGAAGGGAAGGGGCATTTTCTGTAGCCCTCTTGGGTCTCTCCCCTCCTGCTTCTCTCCCCACTCCGCCCTCCCTTCCACCCCACCCCCAAAGCTGTGACTCAAGCCTGACCTTCTTTCCCCGGGGAGAAGGCCTCCCCCCACCGGCCACCCCGCTCCACTCCATACACAACCCATCCCATCCCCGACAGGGGTCAGCGTCTCTCCGGGTGTAGGAAGGCGCTGGAAATGTGGGGGACACAGATTCGTTGTTGCTGAGGCCAGGACAGGTGCTAGCTGAGTCTGAGCTTTGTGGGAAGTGGGGTCTACAAGTGGGGTCTCGGCTCTAATGGGGACTCTGTGTCCTTGCCCTGGAACTCTACCCCCACCCTGACACGCTCACGAGCCCCCCCATGTGTTGGGGCCTGTGCCCTCCTCACCCAGGTCTGGGCTCCCTTGGGTATGCGACAGGCTGGTGTTAGAGGAGACAATAGAGAGGCGCCCCCATGCCTGGGTAGGCCAGGTGTGGATGCTTCCGCCTCCTAGACTTCAGGGCCAGGGGATGAGGGCTTCCTAGGCACTCCCCAGCACCCCTGCCTCCCGGACAGCTGCAGGGCAGAGCTGGGAGTGGAACCCTGGCTCCGTGGTGACGCTGAGGCGCTCATCCTGGGTCCTGGATGCGGTGGGGGCCGGTCCTGAGCTTTGAGCCCCTCATGCTGGGCAAGGAGAAGACAGCGCCTTGACTGAGAGTGGGGCAGTGGAGCTGAGGGCCGTGAGGGTGCAGAGGGAGGGGTGGCTGGGCCACCTAGCGGACACGTTGCCCCTAGAGCCCACTTCTCCACAGGGCACGGGGAAGCGGGTCTGGTGATGCTTCGGAAAGATGTGGCTACCCGGGATGTGCTGTGTGGCCTAGGCCAGTCCCTTCCTCTGTTTGGGCTCCAGCTCCCATGTGCCCTGTTTTTGCTTCTCCGGGGAGGTCTGGAGCCCAGCTTAATTAAGCTCATGTGTGGCTGTGTGCTGGACCCCTGCCCCCTCTGCACCCCCCCCCCCGCATGACAATCACTCAGGTGCTTGGGAGAGCTGGCGCAGAGGTGGGACCACTGGGGCAAGCAGCCGAGGATTGGGCGGGGCGGGCGGGGCGTGACGATCAGCTCTTGCCACTTTGCAGCCAAACGGCATCTACCCCAGAGGGCCCACCTCTAGTGTGCTTCCCTGTGCTTCAGCCATTTGAGCCCCCAGCCCCAGAAGGAGGGAGGACCAGACAGCGCCAGAAGAAAACCATGGATTCTGGGCACCAAAGGCAGCTGGGTGGGAGGCCGGGTCTGGTTGTCTGCAGGGAAGGCTCAGTCAGATACCATCACACCTGGGTGGGACTGGGTGTCCTGGTACCATGGAGGTGGCCGCCCAAGGTCACAGAGTCTTGGGTGCGGGGCTGCCACTGTGGGATCTCCTGGCTCCTCCTACCCTTTATCTATTTGTCCTCCCCTCTGTGCCTGTGTGGCAGCTCTGTCCCAGGACCCAGCAGAAGCCCCTGCTGCAGGAAGGGAGTTAGGTTGGCAGGTAAAGAAGGCTTCCTGGAAGAGGAGGGATTCTGGTGGGGTTTGAAGAATGAGTAGGAATTTTGCGGAAGGAGATGGAGGAGAATTGTTGGCACAGGGCGCCAGTGCCGGCGCAGGCCAAATCCAGGGGCCTGGTACACCTGGTACACCTGCGGAGATTTCATGGGGAGAGGAGGCCCAACCCTGCGGGTCTTGATGAATGGACCCGGGGAGCAGGGGAGTCTTTGAGAAGCAGGGTGAACCTGTAAGAGTTTCCTGATCTGCCCTGGAAGTGGCCAGGTTGGGGAAACCAGATGTGGAAACTAGATGTGTGAGATCAACCACAGGACAGAAGGGAGGCCCACAGAGGTTGAAAGAGTGACAGAGTGTGGCGGCTGACCTTGGATAGGCCCTGCCTGACCAGTGGGGAAGTAGGAGGTTGGGAGGGCTGCTTCTCATCCCTCTTCCCCACAGGACACTCACAGAACTTCTGAAGCAGCCGGACCCCCAGGAGCCACTGCCTCCACCCCTGGGCCCACCTCTGGGCAGCTGTGTCCAGGTGCAGATGGGTGATGGCCGCCCCCGGAGCTCTCCCAACAACACAGGTGTGTAAGCTGGGGGACGGACATAGGGCCTGGGAGGAGCAGAAGGCAGGGGCTGAGAGGGAAGAGGCTCTTAGCTGACTGGCGACTGGAATGAGCTGTGGCCTCTGCAGGTGTGTGAGTGGGGGCTGGGCAAGCCGGTTGGCTCCCCTTGGTGAAGGGAGACCCGCTTGGTGTCCTGCAACTTCCAGTCACAGGGACTCGGTGAGGAAGGGTCCAGACTCAGGGATCCCTGGCTCAGGCTGTGGCTCTAGGCCTTGGCTCCATACCCACGGCGACTGCCTGGCACCAACCTGTGGACTCCTGTGGGCCTTTTTCTCCAGGCTAGAGCCTCCCTCTTGGTCTCTTGTTGGTGAGACAACACCCCGCACCCCCCATGGGTTCTGATTCTCAGACATTAACTCCATCTCATGAGAAGCAGGTCCTGGGACTCAGCGCCTGGCCCAGGCTGAACATGCTGGGGAGTCATCCACTGGGCCGCAGCCACTCAGGGCTGGCTGCTGTCATCCACATTATTCGGGGCCAGGCCCCTGCCCCAGGCACTGGAGAGTCAGGTTCCTCTATCGGTCTCCCCGAAGCAGCCACCACACCTGCTCTCCTTGAACTGCAGTTGGGGCGAGGACAAAGAGTGCTAGTGCCGGGGGAGAGTGTCCTCCAGCCAGCAGGCCGGGTCTCACCTTCCCTTTCCCGTTCCAGATAAGAAGCGCCCCAACAACGTGCCCCTGGGGTCAGCAACACCGGGACCCCCGCGTGGCCCCAGGCTGCAGGGCGGTGGCAGCATGACCCTGCAGCCCGATTTCGCCAAGTACGCCACCCTCAAGGCAGGCGGGCTCAAGGCCGCAGGTGAGTGGCCGGGGAGCGCCCCCCCCCCCTCCCGGTATCTAAGCTCCCATACAGCAAGGCTTGAGGTCCCGGTTGCAGTTCCGCGGTTCCCAGCCTTGCGGGACGGCGCTCCAGCCAGCTTCCTTATCGCGCCTACGCAGCCGGTCGGCTCCCGCGCCTCGACCTCCCGTCCCCTCACCAGGCCACCGGCTAGTCCCCCACGGCGGTAGCCGAGCCCGGGTCTTGGAGACCCTCCGAGTCCCGAGGCGGGTCCCTGGCTTGTCCCGCCCACAAGCCGCCGGGGCCCCGCCCCCGAGGCACGACCCCGCCCCCGAGGCATGACCCCGCCCAGTTCCGCCCAAAGAAGCTGAGGCCCCGCCCCTGCGGCCTGGCCTCTCCCTACCCCATCCCCGGAGTCGCTCGGGCCCCGCCTCCGGGGCTGACCTCGCTCTCTGGCTCGCCCCCGCTGTCCCCGCAGAAGCCACCCCACAGGACTTCTACCAGCGTTTTCCCGCGACCGACCCTGCCCCGCTGACCCTCCCGGCGCGGGTCCCGCGGCCGCGCGAGGACTTGCCCGCGATGCTCGACGCCTGCCCCTGGGCCCCGCCGGGCTACGCTCCCCCCGCCGGCCTTGCCCGGTCGGGCCACTACAAGGCCTGGGTCGCCAGCCGCCAGGCCCGGCCGCCTCCCCGCGGCCACCTGGCGGCTCAGGCCTCCCCCGCACCCCGGCGGCCCGGCCATGCGCCCCGGCGCCAGTTCAGCGTGGAGAAGCTCCCCGAGGCTTTCAGCCCGCAGCCCCCTGGCCTTTACGGCAGCGCGGGCCGCGGACCCTGGCACCTGAGCACCAACAGCAAAGCCGAGGTCACCGTGTGAAGACGGGGACCGCTGGTTCTCCTGAGCCATCGCATCTCCGGGGGCCCTCATCTGCCTTGGGGGGCGCCTTGGGCCGGTTCCGGGGGAGGAGGGGCGGCGCCCGTGGAAGGCCAGCCTTTCCTTACGCCCGCCCAGACTGGACTAGGGCCTTGGAGCCTGCAGGGCTAAGAAGGGGCCCAATGCGTAAAGCCAGTGGCTCTGTTCTCGGGGTCCTAGGGCCCGGGTTCCTCATGTAAATAAAGCCTTTTTCTGTGGCTCCCATCCCTGAGAATAAAGGAGCCCCAGCTTGGCGGTGAGAGGCACTGATGGTGGAAGCATTGGTCATTGACTGGACAGACGGCGGTCAGAGCAGAGGGCACAGCATGTGCAAGAGCAAAGGACGGCTCCTGAGAGCTGCGGGCGCGTGTTCTGGGAGCCAGGGAGAGGTGGCTGGAGAGGGTAGTCAGGGTTGAGTGCCAAGCTTAATGTCCGCACCAGTGGGAGCCGTGGGAGTTGCGCCCTAGCCATCGCAGGGCTCCAGAGCGCAGGGGAGAGGCCTGTTGGGGGCCCGAGGCCCCATGGAAGGTCCATGCCCCTTCCTGGAGGTGTCCCCGCTCCAGCCACTCACTCACTCTCCGTCTTGAGTTGGTTGAGCCCGGCTGATCCTCATTGACATAATCTGGCCCTGAGCCGGCACCTGGCTTGCAGGCCACTTGGCCAGCTTGGTCCAGGGCCACCCCCCTAATGGGTGTGGGCAGTGGGCCAAGCAGACAGCTGGTGCTCAGGATGGGGGAGCCTCCTCCCAGTAGCTGCTCTGGGGGGAAAGCGAATGGGGATGCTGGACACAGAGCCTTGGCAGTGTCCCCACTGGGGGGTGCTCACACATGCTCGGCTAAGCCAGCTCTCCCCCTTCCTGCCAGGCAAGCCTGGGTACCTCGCTGTGTCTCAGGGCATGGCCAGCAGCCTGGGTGTACGAGTTTCTTTGTGCCACGGACTGTTGGGGAGGTTGAGGTCTGGGTTATGCCCCTCACTGTGGGACATCATCAAAGCCAACCAGTTGGGCCTCAGTTTCCCTCCCGTGTAGCCTAGGCATGGTACACTGTTAGTAACAACGGTCACCATCTGTTGCTGCGTCTCTAATCCTTACAGAAGCTCTACGGGTGTGTGCCTTTAAAAATGAGGAAACAGGTTTTGAGACCTGAGTAGCTTGTCAAGGTCACCCAGCTGAGCAGTTTAAGGACTCTGCTGTCTTTTGCTACTGTGCATCTGGTGAATGGTGGGCAGGGCAGGGCAGGGCAGGGCAGTCCGGGGAAGCAGGAAGGTATGAATGTGTGTGCGGGCCGGGCTGGGGTGGGGCGGTGCTGCTAGGGAGGAACAGGCAGTCTGTCTTCCCCCTGCCGGCAGCCCGGAGGGCCCCTAGCCCCCAGGTCCTCACCTGGAGGAGGGCCCACCTCACTCTCCTGGCTTCTGAGGAATCCCAGGCCCAGAAGCCGCAGGACGTACCAGAGCCAAGAGTCTGTGGTCCTGCCTGCAGTGAGGACCCCTGTGGCTTGTAGGGGAGCTGGTCCTCATACTCTCAACTGGGGGTGGGGTGCCCCCAGCCTATCCTGCAGCTGTGCAGAGAGCTGGGGGAGGAGGGTGGGTGCTGAGTCATGGAGCCTGCGGAGACTCACAAAAGGCACAAAAGGCACAGGTTCCTGGGCGCATGGGCCACCCACAGCCACCCACCTTGGTGACACGGGCCGACTGGGCTTTGCTGGGAGGTGGGGACATTTGCAGTCCCAAGGCCCCTAGATCTCCATCCCGGGGGGGCCAGGCTGGGGCTACCGGCAGGGCCACCACCAAAAATGCTGCAGCTGGGCCTCTACTGGCTGCTCTGGCCCTTGGGACGGTGTGGCCTGCTGTGACTGCCCTTCAAAGAGGGGAGTGGCTCATTTCTCAGCCGGGCCAGGTCACAGACCTGGGCTTGTCCCCCAGATCACTTCGGACTCCTCCCCTTCCTGCCCACCGCTCCCAGTGGTCTTGCCCCTCCGCAGGTGCACAGGGCACTTAACTGTAAACTGGTACCTATTCTATCACTGAAACTGACCAACAGGTCTATGGGGACTTTGTCAAAGGAGGGGACTGTCATCCCTGTCGCGCACACATGGAAGTGGAGGTGAGGTTCTGCCCCAGGTGACCGAGCTGGGAAGTACGGGAGGGAGCTGGACTTGGATGGCAAGTCCATCCGGCGGGCCGGGAAGAGGAAAGCAAATGGCAGCACCCCCAGAAGGTGAGAGATGTATCCTTGAGGGGTGAACACATACGGGCTTAGCACCCCAATTCCAAAGCCACTGCTGCTGTGAGCAGCCAGCTGTGCCCTGGCCATAGGGACCTCTGCCTCCAGCAGTACCTCCAGCCACCCTTGTACCCCAGGCTCTGTCCTGGCCCCAGGAGCATGTACCAGGGAGCGGGCATCAGAAGGAAGGGGCTGGTGTGTGGGGGGGGCGAGGAAGGTCCTTCCGACTGGAACCTTCCAGGGGCCTCTCAGCAGAGAGGGAGAGGCTGTCCTCAGCCCCTGACCCACCAGAAGCCAAGCCACGCAGTCGCCTGGCTTGTCATCACAGCGGTCACACCACAGACCCTCACACACCTCCTGCTGGGTGGTACCAATCTGTGTTTATTGAATAACCTACATCCAGGACACAGTGAATGACTTCATATCAAGGAAACCACAGGTGTATCCCCTTTTCTGTGAAAAACACCCCCTCCCACCCCTAGACAATAATAAGAAAAGGCACGGTATATACACATGACACAAGGGCTGGCTCACCTGGGGGTCGGGGCAGGGGGCAGGGGCCACAAATCAGAGTGTGTGTGGGCAGCAGAGACAGAAAGGGGGTAGGTTCCAAGCTGAGCCATTCCAGCCTGCACTTGGGAGTCAGGGGGAGCCCCTACTGGTGCCCCCCAGCCCAGGCGGGGAGCGAGGGATGGCAGCCCCTCTCGGCCTTGCAGCAGACTCTGGGGTCTCAGGCAGTCCTTGGATCCTGGGAGAAACGGCCTCAGGGGAGGCACCAAGCCAGGGGGATCCAGAAAAGGGAGCACTTTTCCTCCCAGGGCCCCTGTCAAGGCAGGGGACATTAGTCCTAGTGTCCTCCCCAGAAAGGGATGGGGAGGGGTTGGGGGCTGGTCCCTGCCACCCCGGCTTATTTTCAGGTCAAGAGTTAGGGATAAAAATAGACAGTGGAGGTAGGAGTTGGGGTGGGCGGGAATTGAGAGCTCACACTGGAGGCCCCCGGTCCTCAGGCCCGATGGGTAGCTTCATCTCTTCCAGCCCCCTGGGCCTACCCTGAACTTGGGCTGGCATCCCAGGGGGTGTGGGAGCGGGAAGGAACAGGACAATTAAATAAGATACCATTTATTTTTTAGAAAATTAAAAAATAATGCCGACATTATTTCATCCAACCCCAGGCCTGCCCCCTGCCTCCCACTTGCCTCCCCAGGGCCGAGCTCCCCTCCTTCCCTGGCTGTCCTGTGTAATAAAGAGAAAACAATGAACTGGCTTTGTCAGGCACAGGGGAGGGGACACAGACTCAAGGAGAGAAATCAAGATGCCGCAGCAGCTCAGCCCCGAGTCACGGCAAACCCCAGCACGCGGATATAAAAACATCTGTATAAAAAGGAGGAAGGGGGCGAGCTGGGCCCAGTGCCAAGGGTGAAGCGCTCTGGTGCCCAGAGACCTATGTTCCCCACGGGGAAAGCCTGATAAAAAACAAGAAGCAGGAAAGGGGGATGTTCGGGGAGAGCAGAACTGGGGAGGGTGGAGGGCTGGAGGCGAAAGCCAAGCAGACTGGGAGCCCCCCACTGCTTTCAAGTCAGGGAGCTCCCCAGTTCCTGCCTGCCCTGGCTTTCCTCTCCCAGACCCATGGGCTCCTGGACCACGGGCCTCTCTCCGCAGCAGATTCTGGGGCTCGGCCCAGGGGCCTACCAGGTTGAGGTGGTCCAACGCCTCGGCAGGCGACAGCTCAGGAGACCAGGCTCACCCCACAGTTCCCAGAGGGAGCAGGGAGAGAGACAGCTAGACAGAGAGCAGGGAGAGAGACCCGAGAGACAGAGGGAGGAGGGCGAGGGGGGCAGGGGGGCTGCAGTGGGCGGAGCCCGGGGGTCAGGAGGCGGCAATGGCTGTGCCGCCCCCCAACTTGACAATCATTTGCTGGCAGTCGTTGCACGAACGCCGGTCACCCGCCTTCTCCAGGGTGCGGGCCGCCTCAGCCAGCAGCACCGCCCGCTGGCCCGGAGAGGACAGGAAGGACAGGGGAAGGTGGCGGCAGGCCAGCAGGATGGCGGTGGCCCGCTCTCGCTGGCCGGGCCAGGCGTCCACCTCTCCTGCGGGAACGAGACACGAGGAGGAAACCCTCACTAGGAGGCCTCCAGGACGCAGGGGCTGTTCCGAGGGCTTGCTGGGGCTCCTTTACTGAACCTCAGACCCCCCTGCCCCCCGCCCCGCCTATGAGGTGAGTTCTGGTGCCCTCCCTGGTTCACAATGACCCGCAGGGCACGCGGCTAGCACCCCGCCTAGAGTTCGCGGGTGGGGCTGAGATGTACCCCCCGAAGTGTGGCTCCAGGGCCCCCGCCCTCCCCTCCCTGCTCCTGAGGCACAGCAGCCCTACCGCGCTCGGGGCTCCTCCCCGGCCCAGAGCTGGGGTGCCCGCGGCCGACTCACCATGCTTGGTGCTCTGGGCTGTGCGCCGGCGCAGACTGTGCTCCAGCAGCTGGTGCGTGCGGGTGGGGCTGGCTCCCGCCATCAGGCGGACGGTGGCTTCATGCAGGAACACCTGGGGAGGGGCAGGGGACACGCCTGTTCCAACCCCAGCAGACACGTCTCCCGGCATCTCAGCGGCCACCCCACCATGGCCCTTCCCTGCTCTCCCCTTGGAAGCCACCTCTGTCCTCTGACCTCCAGGCCCAGTGGGCCACTGGGAGCAGCAGCAGGAGTGGGGAGCAGGGTGCAGGCTGGCGTGGGGCAGCGTGAGACTGAGCCCAGAAAGAGGCAAAGAACCGCTCCCCTCTCCTGGAAACAAGGAAGCCAAGAGGCCTGGGTGCAGCCTCGAGTCCTGCGGGGGTGGGGGTGGGGGGCTGCCTCCCGCTCGAGATCAGGCTGAGGTGAGGCAGCGGCAGCCGGGGTCCCATTTCCCTCAGTTTCTTCAAAATGAGAGGCCACAGGGGCGCCTGGGTGGCTCAGTGGTTTAAGCCTCTGCCTTCGGCTCAGGTCACGATCCCAGGGTCCTGGGATCGAGACCCACATCGGGCTCTCTGCTCTGCAGGGAGCCAGCTTCCTCCTCTC